ATCACAAATCCGTAGATCCATCATTACCTAGTTCATTCGAGTGATCTGCTGCCTCGAATTGAACCTCACTGCATCGCTACCACATCTCTACCGCATCCCTACCGCATCATCTCATCCGATCCGCGATAGATCGTGTCACAACCTAACGAAGTGCGTTCCTTGGAGCATAAATCCTCATCAGGAGTTATCACATAAATAACGTGGAAATGTTATTTTTTAATCAAGCACTCATCTAGCTAGATACCCAACTAGTCAAAGCATCATTGAATATGATCAAAATTGATAAAAATTGAACTCAATTTATTTTGTTTTTTGCTAAAAAAGAAAAGAAATTTGAACTCAATTTGTTACATTAGATATATATATACTAAAAGATTGGTTTTGTCATGGTATGTATCGTGATCCAATGTGTAAAATTCTTAATTTCGAGGAATGCATGCAGTCTCAGTGATAAATGTGGGTGAAGGAAATGGAAAAAGTATTTCTTTGTTAAATCAACCTATGGACGAGACGTGCTGGAAAAAGGATACCTTGAAATATTAATAGAGATAATCATGGTCCAAAATAGCTAAAGACAACATGGCTCACGTTACGTAGCAAGCATTTCAGATGACAAATTTGTGAAATCAATGTCATTGTTCACTGACTTTCGTTGTCCAACTCTTCATGCAGAGAGAAAGAGAGAGGAGTAGCTTAATAAAACTGACAATTGTTACTTGATACCCAATTTTTAGTACGTATGGTTACTTGATAATTAGTTGTACATCACAGCGTTCATAGGTTATAAAGCTGAAAATTCAGTTGAAGCTTGGCATGTGAAGTGTTTTTTTTTTAGTATCTTTGTCATGTTTTTCAATATTTCACTGTTCAATTTTTTCTATTTGATCACCTGTTAAATGTAGTCTCCGTATAACTATGTACATACACGTTTTAGAAGAGAGGTTGTGGTTTGCGGGGTATTTGTCCGTAGGTGGAGATCCTTATATGTAAATAAATCTAGCGTTGAAGAAGTATATAGAGTTCTTGTCCATCACTCTTCCAAAGTCTCATTATATCATGATAGGAAGTAGCTACCAACCAAATTAATTTATAGAAGAGATTGACAAGTTCCAAAGCTTAATAATAGTTAATACCCAACCAACCAGAGCATCAGACACTGAATATATTTTTGCCCGGTTACAAATTCGTTAGAAATGTATATGCCTACTCCTACTAAATTTGATTAAAGTTGATAAAAGTATAACCATTTGTTTGTTATATAAGATGTGTTCCAAACATTAACATGTTTTTGGATGTGATTCCCTGCATGTTTTATTTTTATTTCCTTAAAACGGCAGTAAATGATTTACAGAATGAATGTCACTTTCCAGCGCTTTCCTGGGAGAATTTCGTTTAGTTCTCTCGGTGTGTCTGTTTGGTCGAGAGAAGGAAGACAAAATGGAGCAATGGATTCCGCTGTTGGACATTTTTTTGAAGAGTCCGTCGCCGGAAACCGAGGCGTCGCTGTGGCTAGATCAGCCTTCGAAC